CTGGGATGAGCGCGGATGGGACGCGGCGGCGGCCACGGGGGGGGGGGCAAAGGTGGCGGGGATGTTGGGTGGCAGCCATGCAGGGGACGAAGGCGGCGGTGGGGTGACGCGGAGCCGTGCGGTGCAGCTGGCCTCCAGGCACGTGGCGCTGCTGGCGCTGCTGAAGATGGCGCCGCGCTGGCTGGCGGCCATGTTGGTGCGCAGCGGCCTGTTGCACTGCCTGTCGCCCGTCTTCCGCATGGCGGCCACCAGCCACAGCGAGGCGGTGGCCCGGCTGACGGACAACCAGGACCTGCGTGCCCTGCTCAGCTACCTCTTCTATGGTCAGCGGCTGTCGTGACAGGGAGGGGGCTATCGCGACAGAGAGTGGGCTGTCATGATGGGGAGGGGGCTATTGAGAGAGGGAGTAGGCTATCGTGATGGGGAGGGTGCTATAGTGATGGGGAGGGTGATATAGAGACAGGGAATAGGCTATCGTGATGGAGAGGAGGCTATCATGACAGAGTGGGCTATCACAACAGGGAGGAGGATGTTGTGACAGAGAGGGGGCTATTGTCCCCTATGCCCCCCAAGGAGGGGGGTATTGTGATAGGGAGGGCACTGCTGCAACGGGAGGAGGGCTGTGTCGTGGTACAGCAGGACATTGCTGCAGGAGAGGTGGGCTGTGTCACGATAGGGTGAGGTGGGTTGCAACAGGGGGTGGCTGTATCATGATAGGGAAGGCCATGTTGTGGTAGAGGATGGCTGTATCACGATGGGGAGGGCCTTGTCATGACAGAGGATGGCTATATCGTGATGGAGAGGGCCATGTCATGACAGAGGATGGCTATATCATGATATGGAAGGCCACACTGTGGTAGGGGAGGGCCCTATCACGATGGGGAGGGCCATGTCATGACAGAGTACGGCTGTATCATGACGGGGAGGGCCACATCGCGCTAGGGGAGGGTCGTATCACGACGGGGAGGGCCAAGTCGTGACAGAGGACGACCGCCCCGTGT